GGGAACAGTGGGTGATTATTAGGGTATCTTCCATTACGTTACCCAGAGTGAGGAAAGTAGGGCAGGTAAGTTGGTTTCACAAGGCTTTGCCGAAACGGAGCACAGACAGGCTGGTTTGGCCTGCTCTGGTAGAAGGAGGAGGGGTGGCTGCAGGTTGGATCTGGGGCAGGCTGGGCCAGGTGGAAGTTGAGCTTCCATTGGTTTAACATTTAGTGCGTCAACTTAATTCGGGGTGATCCTCTTAAACTTCATCCTCTTTGAGTTGGGTTCACCTCGCCCAAACTAGGCTGATCAGATTTTCCACTCCAGGGAATTTATAATTTCAACTCAGAGGTTTCACTCTCATTTGGGATCTGCTTTTGGACTGAGGAGACATAAAAACTGGGAGACAAGATGTGGCCATCTTCTTTCATATGGATTGAGAGTTGGAGAAAGCCAGGCTGCAGCAAGACAGCAAAGGAAATAAAACACACACACACACACACACACACACACACACACACACAAAACAAAGCAAACAGAGAGGAGAGAGGGAGATTATACTCCTGATTTCCTTATAGCTCCTGCTTCCTCCTTCCAGACTTCTCAAGCCTGAACACATTCTTTTTTTATTTTATTTTATATTTTTATTGATTTTTTACAGAGAGGAAGAGAGAGGGATAGAGAGTTAGAAACATCGATGAGAGAGAATCATCGATCAGCCGCCTCTTGCACACCCCCTACTGGAGATGTGCCAGCAACCAAGGCACATGCCCTTGACCAGAATCGAACCCGGGACCTTTCAGTCCGCAGACCAACGCTCTATCCACTGAGCCAAACCGGTTTCGGCCTGAGCACATTCTTGTCCTTGGATTTCATAAGACACTGCAGAATCCTTGCTGTAAGCCCACCTCGTGTTGCTTACACTGGATAATGTTGTGTGCTAAGCTCACATTTCAAAAGAACTAGTTTAAGCAAAAAGGGGACAAGCAGTGGAGGGTGCTAGAGAGTCTCATGACATCCGGGAGGTTTGAACACCCAGTTTCAGGAGGTGCCAATATTTGGGCAGATGTGACTATTTTAGTCACAGACTTGGAAGCCAGCTTTCTGCTGGCAAGCTGCCAGTAAGATGCCTCAGTTGCTTGGCCAGCATGGCTCAGTGATTGAGCATCAACCTACAAGCCAGAAGATCAAAGTTCAATTCTCTGTCAGGGCACATGTCCAGGTTGCAGGCTCGATCCCCAGTGTGGGGTGTGCAGGAGGCAGCTGATCAATGATTCTCTCTTCCTTAATGTTTCTATCTCTCCCTCTCCTTTCTTCTCTGCAGTCAGTAAAAATATACATATTTTTTAAAAGATGCCTCATTGCCCCATGATGAGCCAGCAGTATGGGCTACAGCGTAGCTTCAGGCAACAGAAACACAGCTGCTGAGAGAGCATAAGCATAACAGAATGTGCCAGTCGCCAAGATCAAGGAGTAGGGACTTACAGGGTGTTCTGAGACCCAGTTCCAGAGTTCCAAAGTCTTTTATTTTTTACTTACAGAAAATTTGGGGGCATGAGAAAGAAACTTCCATGTTCGTTAAGTCACTGTCTCGTTGTTTCTTTGTCACAGCAGCTTAACTGCCACAGTGAGTTCCGCCCTCTGTGAATGGAGAGACAGGCTCCCTGCAGTGCTCATTATAGCCGAACCTGCTGGGTGTACCAGGCACTGGATCCAACACATTAATTACATGCATTGCCTCACGCCATCTTCGTAACAACCCTACGGATTAAGTACTGTTATTGACCCATTTCTAACGTGAGGAAACTGAGTCTTAGAAAGTTCCAGCAACATTTTGGAAGTCATAGATCCACTCCTTAAACAAATATGGTAGGAATGCCTGTGATGTGCCAGGCCCCATTTTAGTCTCAGGAGCTTATCATGGGAAGTGTTGGACCTGACGTTCCAGCTCACATCAGAACCCAGCTCCTGGTGTTTTGCTGACAGCTTGGTGGCTTCCCTTGTGTGCTCTGGCCTATGGTTATCACTCCTAACAGCCGAGGTGCTTGGGTTCTAACTAGTAAGTGCTTATGTTAAATCACTTTCACATTCTAGCTGGCACCCTTGTAACACAGAGACAAAAAAATGTAGCTAAATGATGTAAAATTTTCTCTCCTGACTTAAAAAGGCAGTAATTATTTTTTAGGGGTAACTTGGAATGAAAACCCTTTAGTAGCACAGAGTAAGAAAAGACATATGGGCCGAAACCGGTTTGGCTCAGTGGATAGAACGCTGGCCCTCGGACTGAAAGGTCCCAGTTCAATTCTGGTCATGTATAATAGCTTGGTTGTGGGCACATCCCTAGTGGGGTGTGTGTAGGAGGCAGCTGATGTTTCTCTCTCATTGATGTTTCTGACTCTCTGTCCTGCTCCCTTCCTCTCTGTAAAAAATCAATAAAATAAAAATAAAAAGACACATGGGTTCAATTCAAGGTTCCACCACTTCTAGCTGTGTGACTTAAGAGCTTTGGTTTAAACACATTTTTAAAAAGGAGAATAGGAACTAACTCTAGAGCAGTGGTTCTCAACCTTTCTAATGCCTCGACCCTTTAATACAGTTCCTCATGTTTTGGTGACCCCCAACCATAAAATTATCTTCATTGGTAGAGATCCACAGGTTGAGAACCGCTAGCAGGGTCGCCTAAGACCATCGGAAAACACAGATATTTACATTACGATTGATAACAGTAGCAAAATTACAGTTATGAAGTAGCAAGGAAAATAATTTTATGGTTGGGGGTCACCACAACATGAGGAACTATATTAAAGGGTCACGGCATTAGGAAGGTTGAGAACCACTGCTCTAGGAAGTTGTGCAAGGGCTGAATAGGCAATAAATGCAAAGCCCGCCGAAACCGGTTTGGCTCAGTGGATAGAGCGACAGTCTGTGGACTGAAAGGTCTCGGATTCGATTCCAGTCAGGGGCGTGTACCTTGGTTGCTGGCACGTCCCCAGTGGGGGGTGTGCAGGAGGCAGCTGATCGATGATTCTCTCTCATTGATGTTTCTAACTCTCTGTCCCTCTCTCTTCTTCTGTAAAAAATCAATAAAATATATATTAAAAAAAATGCAAAGCCCCCAGCACTATGCCTGGCATGTAGCAAGGGAAAGATGACAGACAGCTTTTGTTGAGGAGGATGCGGATTGTAGAGGCCACTGGGCTTTGCCATTAGGTTGATGATGAACGCCAAGAGCAGTTTTACTGGAGAGGTGGGGTGAAGTCTGGCTGGAGATGAATGAGGGCTGAGAAAGGGGAACCTCGGCGTGTAAGGACTCCGTGCTCGGTAAAGAAATGTGTTCACTTAGGAAAGGTGAGATGGGCAGTTTGACAAATGACATAGGTTAAGAGGAGATTTTTGTTTTTGTTTTTTTAAAGAGGGAAACAAAGCATGCTTGGCAGTTAAGGATTAAAGAGGTAGTGAAGAGGGCAGAACTTGAAATAGGAAAAGAAATTGATGGAGCAGGGTCTGGAATGTGGTGCGTGAAGAACCAAAGCCTTGGGGAGAAACTGAACTTCCTTCTCTGAGACCGAGGAGAAATTACGCCGGAAGCAAACAATGAATTAAATAAGTCCTGGCTTGGGACAATTTGTGCGTCATGAGATGCTAATGCACACGAGGCTAGCTGCTAAAGGGAAGTGTTTTCTTTTATCAAGTACATATTTTCCTTGAACATCCTCCTTAATCCCCCACCCAATAGATAGCTAACGTCTCAATTTTGCTGAGTACCTCCAGAGGCTCTTTTTAAAATAAACATACAAAAAATGCAGGAATGGATGAGCCCACACTACGCAGACTATCCTTGTTCTGACCCGGAGTTCAAGGCCCAGCGGTCAGAGGAGGTCGGAGACAAAGGCCGGGAGCTCCGCTCCTTCTTGAACTACGTTATTTATCCGTGTAGCTCTAGTTACAAGCGGCAACCCTAGATTCTGGGCATCTCTCAAAAACGGGGTTCCCCCTAAAAGCATTGAAGGAAAATAATCTTTCACCATCTTTATGCTCCAATGTCTAAGCCTGACCATCTTCCCGGGGACGTGCGGGGTTCAGGATGCGGAGGACTGGGTTCCCTGTCCATTTGGAAACCACAACATTCTATTTTGAGGAGTGGCAGGCGTTCACGTGTTCCATTACAGAAACCTGACCGGGGCGGGGTCACCAAATACCATTGGGACTGAAAAAGTGGCTGGAAACCTCTTCTGGGCAGCTCAGGTTTAGGGCAGTGGAAATGCAGAAATCTGCATTCTGGACTCAACTGGAGACGGCCTTCCAGCTGCCGTCCCAAGTTCAACATTTCATCCAGCGGAAACCTGCCATTTAGAAAGCACACAGGCCCTCAGTCTCCTGTCAACTGCACGTGGGTGGCTCGGGTTACCCCTCATGGCTGGGCCAGGTAGCTGTGCAGAAGCCTGAGCTCCTGAGCTTCTTTTACCCAGGACTCTCCGGGGCATCTTAACAAAAATCCAGATGAAAAAGCAGCGTCATTTGTCTTAGGGAATATTCATTAGAGAGAATGACGAACCGAACTTTACTGCCTAAAGCACATGTGTTAAACACAAGGCCCGCCGGCCAAATCCGTCCCGCCAGGCCTGGCAATGTGGCCCGCACCGCGTTGTCATCACTGCACTCCGCTGCGTTTCCATCACAATGACAGTTTATGACTGTTCAGTAAACCATTCGGCCCGCGATGTAGGCTGGATTTTAGATTTTGGCCCCTTCTCTGATTGAGTTCGACACCCCTAGCCTAAAGCTTCAAACGTCTTCAACGGCGGCCCTCCCAGCGCCCAGCACGTGACGGCCGCGCCCCGCCCCGCCCCGCCCCGCCCGGCGGCCCCGCCCATTCCCACTCCATAGGCCCCGCCCACAGCGGACGAGGCCGCTCGGCCGGTCTCGGTAGCAGGGCCCTTCAGCCCCTCGGAGACTTCCGTCCTCGGATCCAAGGGGGAGGGTCCGTGGGCAGCCCAGGAAGTGACGCAAGGCGCACCCTCCATTTTGTAGAACGCGGAGCAGCTAAGTGCGTCAGTTGTCGAGAGACGTAGGCGAGTTGAGTCCTGGTCTGCGGGGAGGCAGACAGCTCCGTCGCAGACTACGGACCTCTCTTGGGTCTCAGCTGCCAAAGATCCTGTCCGGTAGGTGAGTGGCTCACTTTGAGGGAATGGCTTCTCGGATCGAGGCTTCTTCAGGGCCACTCGGAGCAGTGGCCAGGGCTGCTCTCTTTGCGGAGGACGGCGTCCAATGAGCGCAGTTTACTCGAGGTGGGCGCTGGGGCACGTCTCCCTTGGGGGTATGTTTGAGGGGACGTGAAGGTGGAAGGGGCGGTCGTGGTGATGGTCGTTTTTTACTGCGGGGTTGTGTGCCCCTCCCTGCCTCCTTTACTTCCTCCTTAGCTGAACCCCTGGAGTAGTGGGCTTTGGTTGGGGTGTGGTGCCACGGGGTGTCTGCGGGCGGGGATGGAGACTCCGGAACCGTGGAGTCGGGGGAGGGAGCGGGAGGAGGGAATTTGGCTCGCGCGGCGGCTCGGCCCACGGCCGGCTCCGCCGCCGCCGCCATCTTGTGGCTGTCTTAGCGTCCGCCCGCCGCCGTCTGCGCAGGCGCGGCCGTGGCGTCGCGAGATTCCGGCTTCCACCTGCTGTGACGCTCCCGGGAGGCGGCGACGCTCGCGCGGCCCGTCGCCATTGGGCTGGCCTTGCGGAGGGCGGCGCCGGCCCCGCCCGCACTTCTCGGCCTTTCCTAACTGCGGCAGATGGGAGGGGGCCAGAAGAGCCGGGGCGAGTGTGAGGCTGCGCACTTCCAGAGGCGGCTGTGGGCGTTGCGGTGGCTGCGTTCTGGGCCCAGGGAAGGATCGTGTTGGGAGCCGAGTTTTAATTTTGTCTGCAAGGGACCTGGCCTAATAAAGAGACCCTGTTGGCAATCTTGTTTATAACATCACCCGGTAAACATTTCATTTTATGCCGTTACGTTTGTTTGTTTTATTTTTTTTGACCCCATGGGCCAGCCATTCTGACATTCACCGGTATTGTCTCGATTGGGTTATTTTCCTAATAGGAAGTACTAGCCGGGCGTCATGAGCGGCTGTCGAGTGTTCATCGGGAGGCTAAATCCAGCGGCCAGGGAGAAGGACGTGGAAAGGTTCTTCAAGGGATATGGACGGATAAGAGATATCGATCTGAAAAGAGGCTTTGGTTTTGTGGTGAGTATGTAGAACTGATTGGATTATCCATTGTTAAGCTGGTAAAGATATTGATAAGCAACATGTTTTTTTGTTTTGTTTTTTTATCTTATTGAGGCAGGTGAGTATCTTTAAGAAATGCGTGCATCCTTAAGGCAGTGAATTTTCTTTAGGAATGAATGAACCCCACTGCTGACTGGGAACCACGCCTGGTCACCTGTCAAATAGGCTTATTGATAGGGTACTGTCATTAAGATACTTATCTGTTAGGTGTTTTTATTTTTTATTTTATTTTTTTAAACAGTTTTTTTAAAAAAATATATTTTTATTGAATTTTTACAGAGAGGAAGGGAGAGGGATAGAAAGCTACCCTGTTTCCCTGAAAATAAGACAGTGTCTTGTATTAATTTTTGCTCCCAAATATGCGCTAGGTCTTATTTTCGGGGAAACACGGTAGAAACATGGATGAGAGAAAAATCGACCAGCTGCTTCCTGCACACCCCCTACTGGGGATGTGCCCACAACCAATGTACATGCCCTTGACTGGAATCAAACCTGGGACCTTTCTATCCACTGAGCCAAAAGGGTTTTGGCCTGTTAGGTGTTTTTAGTGCCCCTAATGTTGTAGAATACAGTTTTAAGACTGCCAAGTGTTATGATGTGTTTTTTTCATGCTTGTATTTTAGGAATTTGAGGATCCCAGGGATGCTGATGATGCTGTATATGAACTTGATGGAAAAGAACTCTGTAGTGAAAGGTGAGACGCTTAATTTTAGTTTTGTAGTTAGCATTGTAAACGAGCAGACCTAGGGTATGCTGGAGTATCTTCCTAAGTAAATCTCTTACGTAGCTTGTGTGGATAATGAAGATTTTTCTTCCCTTCCTTAGGGTTACTATTGAACATGCTCGGGCTCGATCTCGAGGTGGGAGAGGTAGAGGGCGATACTCTGATCGCTTTAGTAGTCGCAGACCTCGAAATGATAGACGGTATGTGATGGCCAATGGCTGTTTTGAATAATCATTACTGCAGGACTATTTAATGATTAAGTACTATCGATACTAATAAAAGGGTAATAATGCTAATTCGACCTGGAGATCTTCTGGACATCTTTCCAGACAAAGCCATGGTGGTGGTTAGGGGCTATCAGGTCAAGAGGGGAGGGCAGTTGAGGGTGATCAGACTGGTGAGGGGGGCAGTTGGGGTGAGTAGGCTGGCAGGCAGGTGAGTGGTTGAGAGCGTGATTGGGCCTAAACTGGCAGTCGGACACCCCCCGTGGAGTTCCAGCTTGGAGAGGGTGCAGGCTGGGCTGAGGGACATTTTTTCCCCCATTACCCCCACCCCCACCCCACACTGGGCCACTAGTCCTGTATAATAGGCTAATATGCAAATTGACAGAACCAGGAACTACTGGTTGCTATGACACATATTGGCGCCTGCCCCCTGGTGGTCTCTGCACTCCCACAGGGGGAGCACGGCCCAGCCAAAACCCAGGCTGGCCAGCACAGTGGCAGTGGTGAGAGCCTCTCCCGTCTCTGAGGCAGCTGCTAAGGATGTCTGACTGACATCCCTAAAGGCTCCAGGACTGCAAGAGAGCACAGGCAGGGCTGAGGAGACCTCCCCTCCCATAATGCATGAATTTTGTTCACGGGGCGTCTAGTTAGCTAAGTGATTCTGGTATTTACCAAAAAAGTTAGTTTTCTTATGCCTATGTCAATTGACTATTAAGTCTGTATAATGAATCATAAAATAATCAAACAGTTGATGAAATCATTTTAATGGCTTATTATGTCTGAATGCATAAACTTGCTCACAGTTGAACAAAATTGCACATTTCTGAACTTTTTCCATTGTGAATACTTGTTTTCTTTCTCAGAAATGCTCCACCTGTAAGAACAGAAAATCGGCTTATAGTTGAAAATTTATCTTCAAGAGTCAGCTGGCAGGTGTGTAGAAATTCAGTTTTGATATATTTTAATGTGGCTTTTTAAAAACTAATGGAATGGGTAGCTAAAGTTTTATTAACATTTTATTAAAATTAGTTCTATTTTTAATTAAATTAATGGAATTAATTGTAATTTTAAAATTTTAACTTAATGTAATTGGGGGATATTTCAAACTTTAATATTAGTGATCAAATGTAAATGTTTTGAGGATATTTTTCTTGTTCTTAAAATCAATTTTAACCAAATATTAAACCCTTTATTTGCCAGCCTATCTGTGTCGTTGGCCTTATGACGAGGAGTGCCTGTGGGTTATCCTAATCGTTGTCTTGGTCACTCTTGGTTGGGCCTGGTTGACTTTGCCAGTCAGCTCCTACAGTGATCAATTGGCCACCCACCTCTAGATCTGTGTTTGCCGGTCTAGACGTAATCCGGGCACTTGGCGTGCCAGGTTGCAGCGATCCCAGAGCGCTGATTACGAGATCTGATCCCTAAGTTGAGAGCTGTCTTCCTGTAACGCTTCCGAATAAGAGGTCCTGGTCGAACGATACGAAATTAGTTGGTCGTTGGAATCCTGGTCGCTGTAAAGTGGTCCTTGGTAACTGCACAAGAGTAGAACGTGTCTGCATCGCCAGTAGTCGGCTAATAGGGAGGGCTGTGCGATAAAGGCTTCCATCGATGGGGTAGTGTCCTTCAAGTGGGTGGCGAAGAGCCAGTCGGGCTATGTCATGAAGGTTTCTTCGACCGGTTAACGGTTTGCTGCTTGACTAGCCTAGGGAAATAATAATAAAGGTAAAGTAAACTTTTTTAATGACATATGGGGCACAAAATAATTGATGTCTTGTAAATGTTCTGTTTTTAAATATAAAATTTCTACTTTAGTCTTTAAAAATATGTACTGTTTCTACTTGTTTGTTTTTTGTTTTGTTTTTTTGTTTTTCTTTTATATTGAGCTCAGTATAGACTAATACTATTTAATGTTAACATCTGAATTACTTTTAGCATTTTGCTTAAAAGCAATATGCTATTTGCTTATTTCGTGCCCTGACATATATACTTTTTGAATTCTGATAGAATACAAGTGTGGTGAATGCCATGTTTGTACTTTATCTAACATCTTCTCTTTCAGTAGTCTTGTTTTTATATCATGTTGTTGTTTGTGTGTCACGTTTCCTTTTCTTTGCTTAACACAATTGTCTTGTGTTAAGGATCTCAAAGATTTCATGAGACAAGCTGGAGAAGTAACCTTTGCGGATGCACATCGACCTAAATTAAATGAAGGGTAAGTATGTACTGCAGATTGTAAGCCTTTTAAAATATGTTGGCAGTTTTATTGTGAATGTTCTGAGTACTAAAAATTTGCGAATGCTCTTGGTTCTCAGGTGAGTTTGCTTCAGGGGGTTTTGGGCAATGTCTGGCATCTTGTGGATAAAGGCCAGGGATGCATATAAACATTCTATTAGGTCTAGTAATAATTAATGTCGTTTTCTAATACTTTTTTAAAATCTAATTTATTTAAACAATACAACAAAATTTAATCAACAATATAGTTGCCGTTGTTTTCTACTACTTGTGCCCAACGCTCAGGCAGCATTTTAATCCCTCTTGTAAAATTCTTGTGATTTTGATGCAAAAAATTCGGTCAATGCATTTTTGAGGCATTCTTCATTATTAAATTTTTTTCCAAGAAGAAAGTTTTGCAAAGAACGAAACAAATGGTAATCGGAAGGGGCAATATCAGGAGAATATGCAGGTTGAGGGAGAACTTCCCATTCCAACTGACGCAGTTTTTCAGCAGTGATTCTTGCAGTATGCGGTCGTGTGTTTTCGTGGTGAAGAATTACGCCCTTCCGATTAATCAGCGCGGGTTCTTTTTCTCTTAAAGCTTGGGCTAACCTTTCCAATTGGGCACTATACACTGCACTTGTAATGGTTTGGTTAGATGGTAAAAGTTCATAATGAAGAATTCCTTTAAAATTCCACCAAACACACAACATCACTTTTTTCGCATGCAAGTCAGGTTTTGGCGTGGGCTGCGGAGCCTCATTTTTGTCCAACCATTGAGGCCGCCTTTTCAAATTAACATACAGCACCCATTCTTCATCTCCGGTAACAATTTGCTCTAAAGACGGCAAACAGTTTTGACGAGAGAGGAGCGAACTGCAAATTGTGACTCTTTGATTACGGTTGTTGTCGGTCAACTCATGAGGAACCCATTTTCCAAACTTTTGGACTTTGCCAAGTGCACGCAATTGATTGGAAATTGTTTTTTGTGAACAATTTAAAGTTGTCGCAAGCTCTTGTTGGGTAATTTGAGGATTTTGCACCAAAAGAGCTTGAAGAGCTTCTTGATCAAAATTGGACACACAGCCTCGACCACTCTTGTCATCTAACGAAAAAGTTCCCTCGCGAAATTTCTCAAACCAACGCTGGCATTTTCTGGCGCTAACTGCATCTTGACCAAGAGCACTACAGATGTTTTTTGCAGCCTCACTTGCTTTTCTTCCTAATTGGAACTCGTAAAGCATGCAGTGCCGAATATGCTCTTCATCCGCCATCTTCTAAGCCCTAGTTTTGCAACAAAAACCAAACCAAACACAAACTTTTTCAAGCAAAACTTGTTAATTGCACTTCACACGTTCTGTAGATACCACGTGTTTGAAGGTTATGTCAATACAAGTCAACGCCAAGCAAGATTTTAAACGAATGTTTAAAAACGACATTAATTATTACTACACCCGATACAATGCACAGGAAAGCCCCCGACTGTTTGAATGGGCTAAATTGTCAACAATTAGGAGGTTGAGAAAGCTTACTCTAATGCCATGTTATCCATCAAGAGTTAGATTCTTGATACAATAATAGCAAAATGAAAGGTACTTAATCTAGATTCCGATAGCTTGTGAGACTGATATCTACATAACTTAACAAATGCTATTTTCTTTTTCCTCCCTAGGGTGGTTGAGTTCGCCTCTTATGGTGACTTAAAAAATGCTATTGAAAAACTTTCTGGAAAGGAAATAAATGGGAGAAAAATAAAATTAATCGAAGGCAGCAAAAGGCACAGGTATCTCCTTAATATATTTTAAAAATATTTCTATTGATTTTTACAGAAGAGAGTGAGAGAGCAAAACACCTATCAGTTGTCTCTTATTCCCCCTCTACTGGGCATCAAGCTCCTCACCCGGGCCATGTGCCCTGACTAGGAATTGAACTGGCAACTTTTCATTGCATGCATGGGACACAATGTCCAAACAACTGAGCCACACTGGCCAGGACACTAATATTTTTAAGTCAGAGTTTTACTTAATGGATTTGTAGGGCCTGCAGCTTATGTTTTTTTTTTTCTCTCTCTCCTCACCAGTAGGTCACGAAGCAGGTCTCGTTCCCGGAGTAGGAGTTCCTCTAGGTCTCGTAGCCGATCGCGATCTCGTTCTCGTTCTCGGAGTCGCAAGTCTTACAGCCGGTCTAGGAGCAGGAGCAGGAGCCGGAGCCGGAGCCGGAGCCGGAGCAAGTCCCGTTCTGTTAGTAGGTCTCCTGCACCTGAGAAGAGCCAGAAACGTGGTTCTTCAAGTAGATCTAAGTCTCCAGCATCTGTGGATCGCCAGAGGTCCAGGTCCAGGTCCAGGTCCAGGTCTCGGTCCAGGTCCAGGTCCAGATCAGTTGACAGTGGCAATTAAACTGTAAATAACTTGCCCAGGGGGCCTTTTTTAAAAAAAACACAAAACACAAAAACACAAATACCCAAATCATACTTGCTAAAAATTCTGGTAAGTATGTGCTTTTTTTTGTGGGGGTGGGATATGGAGGGAGGGTTGGATTGGGTTGGGCTGGATATCTTTGTAGATGTGGACCACCAAGGGTTGTTGAAACCTAATTGTATTAAATGTCTTTTGATAAGCCTTCTGCTCACATTTTTGTGAATGTCTGAAGTATATAGTTTGTGTATATTGACAGAGCTCTTTTATAACTAAAGCAAATTTAATTTTTTTGTACTAGAAAAAATTTGAACATTTTAGTTCTTGATTATTCAAATATGTTAATTCAAAATTAGTTTAATGTGTCAGTTAAACTAATTAATAGCTTTGGACACTTAAAAGAGCTCTAAGTTTGCTTGTACATAAAGGCTTAATTTGAGTTTTCCTTGTTAGGGTCAAGGGTGTCCTCTCACCCACTCTTTAACAGCTGCCTGGCAAAGACAAGCAGCTGTTTGTATTTGATAATAAAAGATTATAAAACTGCTGTTGTCTGAAGGATGTGTGCTATTTACTCCTCCCCATCTACATTCACATAATTTCTTTTAGAGAACCTGATGTCATTTGGTACTTTTAACATTTTAAGCTAGCCAGAAAATAGGCAAAAGTCAGTGAAATGTTTAAAGCAGTGAGATGACTGACTATGAATTTCCTATGTATGCGACTCTCTCACGCTCTTTCCCTGTATCACCTGACTATTCTGGTGGCATCAGGTTACTTGGGGCTTCCATAGTCAAGAGGACAATTTAGGAAGCAAATGGTACAGTTACTGTTTTATGCCTTTCTTAAAGGTTGTATTACAGTTTGGTGGACATAAGGTTTTTTTTGGGGGGATGTGTGTGGTATTTTTTAGATCCATGCACATGTCTTTAAAGGAGTCTATATGCTTTTTTTAATTTATTTTTATTTTTTACAGAGAGGAAGAGAGAGGGACAGAGTTAGAAACATCAATGAGAGAATCATCGATCAGCTGCCTCTTGCACACCCCCTTCTGAGGATGTGCCTGTAACCAAGGTACATGCCCTTGACTGGAATCGAACCTGGAACCTTTCAGTCTATCGCTCTATCCACTGAGCCAAACCAGTTTTGGCTATCTGCTTTTTCTTTTAGTCCTGAGACATGGATGTGATAGTATATGTGAAGGGGAAAACGATAGTGGAAGCTGCTTAAGGTTCTCTATCGCTCTTAAGTGGTAGATCCTGGTGCCTGCAGGTAATGATTTAAAGGTATAAGAATCTCAGAGACTAGGCTTTAGTCCTCTATTTGAGTGCTAGTATTCTATAGATAAATAATTGGTAACCGAATCTTCAAAACTACTTACTAGATAATGGTTTTACTAGAGGAAATTATGCCAAAGAGAAGAGCAAATAAATGGTAAACTGGTATTAGAGCCCATAAAGCCTAGTTTCAGAATCCTAAACACTTCAGTGCAGACCCTTGCATAACCCTGCAGGGGTTTTGAGGAAATTACCAGAGATTGCTTTTTTTCTCCACAAAGTGGGGGGTTCGCCTGGGGAGTTTCTGGTTGGGTTTTGGATTTGAAAGCTTTTTGGATGACTGGCATGCCCACTTCCCTCTGCATGGCCAAAACTGATTTCAGGGAGTGTTTATGTGATATCATAACATGTTGCGGATGGATCACGAGAATTCCCGTGCTTTCTGTTCTAAGGCTTGTGGCCAATTACGAAAATTCTTTAAAAACATAATAGCTTGTAAGAACATGTAATAACTTCAAAATACAATGGGTATTTAATTTTAAACCATGCCTTTAACATTTATATAAGCTGTCTTTTGTACAGAAACTTGGCCACTGGGAAAAGCTAGCAATAAAACTACTGGTCTGCAATGTGTTAATTTGGATGAGGACACTGGCTTTATTTAAAAGGGCAGATCTGCCTAGCTGGCGAGGCTTAGTGGTTGAGTATTGACCTATGAACCAGGAGATCACAGTTACATATCTGGTCAGGGCACGTGCTGGTTTCAGTCGGGCTCGATCCCAGTGAGGGTGTGTGCTGATCAGTGATTCTAATTGATGTTTCTATCTCCCTCTCTGAAATCAATAAAAACATATTAAAAAAATTGCCAGAACCTGCCCTGGCTGGGTGGCTCCACAGGTTGAAGTGTCTGGTGCACCAAAAAGTTACATGTTTGATTACCTTTGAGGGTAAATACCAAGGTTGCGAGTTCGATCCCTGCTCGGGGGTTGTTCAGGAAGCAACCTGTTGTTTTCCTCAAATAAAAAAAATCCTTGGGTGGGGATTAAGAAAAATAAAATGGTAGAACCTAGTTTTTTCCCCTTTGGGTTTTTAAAATGTACCTTGGTGATATGTATGGTGTTAGGTACTTGGACATTTTATCAGTTGACTTTCTGATTTTTCCACCCCTGTAAAATAATTGCCTTACGGTTTTAATATTACAAATAGTTTGTTACACAGCGAGGCAATAAAATAAGACCCTTTACATACAGGGAGAGGAGATGAATTTAGGTTAGCCTAAATTTTCAGGTCCAGGTTCTGAGAAGTCATGAGTGGAGTGGGCATGAGTGCAAGCAGTTTTAAGACCAGTCTGCAGGGGATAGTGCGGCTTTTGTGCAACCATCTAGCAAGCTGAAAGGTAAGTTTGAGAGTAGCATCTATTTTGCCTGCAACTTTTTTATTTTATTTTTTAACATAGTTGGTATCCTATATAATAAAATGGTAATATGCAAATTGGTCTTAGAACGACTAATAGCTATGATGTGCATTGACCACCAGGGGCAGATGCTCAATGCAGGAGCTGCCCCCAGATGGTCAGTGCACTCCCACAGGAGTGCAACTATCCACTGAGCCAAACCAGCGAGGGCCAATTTGAGTATTTTCTTCAAATTGAGAAACCACTCATTTTGGCAGCATCTTAACTCTGAATTTTGAGGGACCTTAATGTGAAAACCACTAATGAACTGATGGGATATAAAATGATTGCATTAGTGAAACAATTCTGTTGATTTTTATATTGTTGCCTGGCTTTTTCTTGTTAAAGTCACCCCCTCTCCTCCACTGGGGTTAGTTTTCCTTTCCACTGGGTTATATTCTTTCATTATGGCTGTGTTTTTGAGTTTGTCTTGTCTAGTTGCTTTTGCATACTTCTTGTCTTATGTGGGTTCTCAGGAGCTTTAATCCCAATAGTGATGGAAGGAATAGGATCTGGGTTTTTAATGCTATTACAAAGGATTTTTGAAGTCTTCTAATCCTGCAGCTCTTTGAGCATTATTTTTTAGTAATAAAACTTGGAATGGCCCCAGCCAGTGTGGTTCAGTGGTTGAGCATTGACCTATGAACCAGAAGGTCATGTTTCCATTCCCACTTAGGGCACAAGCTTGGGTTGTGGGCTTCATTCCCAGTAGGGGGCTTGCAAGAGGCAGCTAATGGATGATTCTTACTGATGTTTCTATCTCCCTTCCTCTCTGAAATCAATAAAAATATTAAAAACAAAATCCCCTTGGAACTGGATTTGGGTATTAGATTTTGAGGAAACATTTTTTGACTAGTTCACAAATCAAGTTTTTTTTTTTTTAAAAAAAATCCCTACCCAAGGATATGTTTATTGATATTTTAGAGAGAGGGGGAGAGAGATGCATTGATTGGCTGCCTCCCAGAGGCACCCCAGCCGGCAACATTTTGGTGTAAGGGATTTTGCTCCAACCTTCTGAGCCACCTGGCCAGAATGAGACAGAGTGCCATATAAATATATATCAGGCACAGTTTTAGGGATGCAGAGGTAAAAGGCAGTTTGAGTTCCTTCAAAAGATTGTCATTGAGCAAGTCTTCTTTTAAAAACAAATATCAAATTCTAGGCTGGAGATAGGTGAGGCTTTTAGAATTAGACACCTCCCAACACCCCCACCCCCACCCCCCATCTGTCATCCAGGCAAGACTCGATGCTGATAGTTTCTGCTGGAAATGTTGGAGAAAGACTCAGTCACTGCTGGTGTGTTCCTTTCATCTTTCTGCTTTCTTTGTAGTTTGCCATATTTCCTTCTGAATTATCTTCTGACCTGAAACCAGGTCACTGGGGGAGCTCCTCTTTATGGGTGCCATTTCCCAGAGCCGCTGGAAGGGTTTCTTCAGTTGGGGCAGCTGTGTAGGTTATTTTTATCTTATCTGTCAAGTTGAAAAGGGTTATGGGTAGGGGAGGAGAATGAGAAAATAGTAAATATAAAGCTTGTTCAATCTGGAAGACAAAAGACCAATTTACCCCTAGGGTGGGCTGTTTTTTCTATCGACCATCTCTCCTCTCATGTCTTGGTTCTGAAAGGATTTGCTTTCCCTCAACTACCCTAATGGTAATACTAGTCACAAAAGGTCTAATTAGCAGAATACTGACTCTGGGACTCCATGTCCAACTTCATTGTACATGCAATTCAATAGGGGGATTGAATGTAAGCGAAGTTGTTGACTGCATTTGGGAGCAAGCAGGGGTCAGGGAGAAAAGAACTTCAGGGAAGTCTTCCAAGGTAGGTTCCCTGCCCCTCCCCCCATTTTGTTTGGTCTACTTTTCCAGGCTGCATGGCTGTGGTGTGCTGTGAAGAGGGGGTCTACATTTCTGGCTCTCACATCTCTGTAGAAGGGTACAGATATCAAAACCATAAACACTTGGCAGATTCTTCATCCTGAGTACTGCTGCGTGGGTCCTTATGGTCCATTTGGTAGTTTTGTCCTAGGGTCTTCTGAAGTGCATTATGAGGGAAGTTCATTGTGAGTGAGTGAAGGTCTTGAGAGCCAAATACCCATAATTAGAGAATGGCCTCATGAGGGCACTCCGGGCCTCTCTGGGATTAAGACTAGGAACCTGATGGGTTGTTGTAGAAACTTTCCCCCTCTCTTGCATTTTTTTGGTAAGAGAGTGGAGAGTTCAATGGGCAACAGAGGTCTGAGTTGCTCTTGGATAAGCATCAGACTAGATTTTCTACAGTTCTATACACTGAGTAGCCAGGTTATGCTGATCTCTGAATGCATCATAATCTGGCCGCTGTGTGTGTGTGTCTGTGTTAGAGGCCTGGTGCATGAATTTGTGCATGGGTGGGGTCCGGCCAGCCTAGCCAGGGGAAGGGGACACGGGCAGTTGGCTGGCCTGCCTGCTGTTCGAACTCCTGGTTGAAGGGACAATTTGCATATTAGCCTTTTATTATATAGGATATACACTGAGTGGCCAGATTATTATGCGTTCAGAGATCATAATAACCTGGTCACTCAGTGTAGTTTTGAACTAAAACTTATATAATGGTTCTGAAGTAAAATCCTCTTTCTTTTTGACTGCTTGATAACCATGATTGCATTTTAGTTCATTGTAAATCTGAATTTGCCTGCTATAAGATAATTTTACAGGGAAGTTGCATCTTTCTTTTAGGGTGTAAACCAGTCCCCGGGGCCTAGAAAAGGTTTTGAAGAGGCCCTCAATTCGTGGAAATAAGAGTTGAGGATTTGAGTGATTATGAATATACTGATGTTTAGAATATAAAATACTGAAATTTTATCAAGTAAGGTGGTTTCCTGGTTTGGAAAAAAAAGATGAAGGGTTTAAATCTACTTTGAGGAAGGGACTCTGAGCTTTCTTGAGTTTTGATTATGTTTGGAAGAGAATGAAATGATCTGAGCCTCTTAGGAAATAGGTGCTAAATTGGCTAGGAAGTGATTACTCCAGTAGTAATCAGATTAAGGGATAAAGCAAATCAGACCAGATTGTGAAAGCCAATTGTTCAGTAAGCTCACTTAAGTTTTCCTTTCTGTGGAATCCTCTGTTTTGGATTCGGGGTAATTAGGCTGCATTGCTTGAATGCTTTCCCTCCTGTAGGGGTGCCAGTAGTGCTGGGACTCTGACCTGGTTCTAAGATGGGAGAACCTACAGTACAAATTTCCTGAACTCTTGTGAATAGGGCCTTTCACAGAACTGATGTCTCACAGCTATCTGTTGGCCAAAATGGTTCTGTCCTATGTTCTCACCCTCAGCCCTATACGTGATTTCCTCAGTTAAAGCAGCTAAATTACCTAGTCCCATGAGGCAGACTCCATCCTAAATGGCAGCGAGTGAAGGAGTAACCTTGGCTCTTTGAGGCCCTTCGTACTTCTTGTTGCTATCTGGTTTCTAGTGACTTGATAGTTATAGCCCATCTAACATCCTTTCCAGAAACTTGTTTTTCTCCAATATGTGAGACCTCCAAGGGGAATAATTCAGTACTCACTCCTGGAAGGCTTGATTTTCTCATAGCACCGAAAGATGGCAATGAGGAGAAGCCCTTCTCCAAGCTGGCAAATCATGTAGAGGAGAGGAAAGAAGAAAAGTGGTCCGATGACTTCAGGGGCGAAGGTCACATTGAGGATGGTGGAGCAGAGTTGAACATTTTGGCATCCAGTCTCCATGCTGACAGTGCGCCTGCATCTGTGTAGGTTACAAAACAACCACCCTGTATGCCCTCAAGGAAGAGGCATGAGTGTACAGCCTCACTTCCCTATCTTCTTCCTCCCAGATACTGGAACAGTTTGAGACAGGAAGTGAGCCAGAGAGTGGAGTGCACATGGTTTCAGGAAAAGGGAAGTTGACACGTGTTAAAACCACCAATCCAGCCATTTTTTATTGTCTTGGAAATGGATGATTTGTCTACTTTTGTAGGGTTGCTAAGTTAAATTTGGAGAAATGGCCAGCTGGTGAGGGAGGAAAGGCAGGTGTGAGCCAGTTCCAATCATTAGCTTGTTATATTGGACTTACAGGACAATTAGAATTTTCAACTTATAGTAGAGGATTGAAATGCCTGAAGATCTTGTCCTGTTCCCAAGTTTCTGGCTTTGTTACCTTTAAAATGTGATGATGAGAAAAAAATAAACTTGATTGAGCCATATTTATCTGTCATTGGAATAAGGTCTCTTGGTTTTGCTTCCCATTTTATGAATTACAGGGATGTTTACATTTAATAAATGTATATTTAATTTGTTGAATTGTAATGAGTGTATTAAAATAATTGTTATTTACTAAAACCCCTGAGAGCTGTCTCAGCATAGGAGGAAGACTGCTCTGGCGATACTCGATGCCGGGGCCGTTAAGATCTGTATCATTCTGTTGTGAAAGTTTACGTCAAGTGGTCATTGGCAGTCTTTTGACTCTACTATCACCATGTGTTATATGCTGTACTATTTGTCCTTTATTAGTATGTTTTTAAAAATGGATGATTATTTTTTTAATATAAAATTTTTATTTTTAATTACAGTTGATACTATTTTGTATTAGTTTCAGGTGTACAGTATAGTGGTTAGACAATTATATAATTTACAAAGTGATCCCCTGATAATTCTAGTAGTACCCACCTGGCCCCATATATACAATAGTTACTGCAATATTATTGACTATATTTCTTATGCTATATCATACTTTACATCCCCTGGACTATTTTGTAACTACCAATTTGTACTTCTTAATCCTCTTACCTTTTTTACTCAGCTCCCCAACCCCACCTCCTACTGGGAACACAAGTTTTTTGAGGCGGGAGTGCTAGGGTGCTACTAATGTAAACTGCATAAGCATTTGTCTACTATGTTTAAAAAGAGCAAAAGTTCTGGACATGTACTGCTTGTATAGAGAGGGTGTCTGATGTTCCCATTCCTGGCTTTCAGAGATACCTATTCCCTTAAAGTAGCAGCTGTTTGTGAATTGGATTAGACTCTAGCTGAGGCCCCTGCTACGTCAGTTCTGAGTGCCATTTAGCAGAGCTGTCACTTGATGGTATTCTTGTAAAAGGAAAAATGTGGAAGAGGAAGAATATTTGTCATAAAGACACAGAGTAACCACTGTGCCATTAGCTACTAGGGAGTTGGGCAGGAGATGGAATTTAGCCTCTGGAGGGAGCCATGACTTGCTGCTCTTTGGATGATTAGAGAGATTAATGTTTCTAACCCATTCAATACCTTCCCAATATTTCAGTTCAAAGTCCCTTGTTCAGTTGATGCATTTGAACATATTGCTGGCGAAATGCCTTCCCCGGACCTCAGATCTCCTCATCCTTTTCCTGAGAGACCAGGACAAGAATGAGGCCCACAAAACAGTGAGACCTAAAATAATACCTACTGTCCATTGAGGCGGAAGATAGCAGAGAGAATGTAGCCCAGCAGGAAGCCGATGAAGGGCATCAGCGAGGAGGTGGCCCACAGGTGGGGTGTCATGACAAACATGATGCTCTTGCCCACGTTGATGACAGAGAGCACTGTGATGGCCACACTGAGCAAAAGCATGATGATCATTCCTCCCTGAGAATGAGGACGGGAAAAGGCCATTAGAGAGGGGTGGGGGTGAGGATGGGGAGAAGCAGAGAGGTGAGGTGAAGCCCAGGTGGGCATTGGAGGGGAAAGACATTTTAATTTTAAAAAGTTGGTATTTGAAGTGGAAGGGAATACAAAGACCTTTATTTCCCATGTTTTTGGGATTCTTTTCAGTAGCTAGGAAGCTTCTTGCAGGGCAGAGACCCGATTAACACTTGTTACTGAAGACTAAGCCAAGTGCAGCATCTGCTTGATATCTGTGAATACAGATTTTCAGTAAGTGGCTCTGAAGGAATGAGACAGTTCAATTCTCCCGCAAAGTGGTTCTTGTAAATTAAAAATTCTTTTGCAAAGTCATTGACTGCTTGTGTACACATCCAACAACACTGTCATTGCGCCAAAGAGTTGGGAACTTAATCTGTTATTCTTAGAACCTGTCCTACTTGTCTCAAATACCTCCATTATGCATAGGGACCGCATGCTTTCTATCGATAGGATGAATTTGACTCTTGGAAGTTTCCAAGAATCATTTGAAGTGAAGCTGGTAAACAAGTTGGATGATCAAGACAGGTAATGTGGGTTCAGATCCCAACTGTAAAGAGATGTACCTTTCTTAGTTACAAAGGAAGTTGGTTACAAAGGACGTTCCCAAAAGAGAGTTTCAGAAATATCTTGGATAATAATGGCATCATAGAAACAATGTAGGTGTCCACCTTAGCCCAGTCAAGTGCTATGAAAGCAACATTTATTGCTCTTAATAATTACTATTAAATATGTTAATATTTAACATGAAAGCAATGTTGAGTTTTATTAAACATTTTTATAGTTGCATCTTAATACAATTTTCAATATATTTATAATGAAACTAGAGGCCTGCTGCACGAAGATTCATGCAATAGGCCTTCCTTCCCTTGGCTGCCAGCATTGGTTTTCCTCCAGCACCCGGAACCCAGGCCATAGCAAAGCCAAGCCGTCAGCCTTCAGGCTTGGCTCTGGCTGCAGTGGAGCCAAGCCTTCAGCCTTCAGTGGAGCCAAGCTTTCAGCCTTCAGGCTTGACTCTGGCTGCAGCAGAGCCTTCAGTCTTCAGACTTTGCTTTGTGCCTGTGTATGCAAATTAACCCACCATATTTGAGTGCATACACACTCCTGATTGGTTGGTGGGCATCGTGGAGGTATGGTCAATTTGCATCTTTTTCTTTTATTGGTGTAGATTACAATGTTACAATTTTCCAGCAGGTGACAGGAGGCAAACTTTAAAAGTGCATTTTCTTGTCCTAATCATTTTGGTTCAGTGGATAGAGCATAGGCCTGTGGACTCAAGGGTCCCAGGTTTGATGCCCATCAATAGCATGTATCTTTGTTGCAGGCACATACCCAGTAGGGGGTGTGCAGGAGGCAGCTGATTGATGTTTCTCTCTCATCGATGTTTCTAACTCTCTCCCTTCCTATCTGTAAAAAATTAATAAAATACAATAAATAAATAAAAGTGCATTTTCTTGTTTGCATTTTGGAAAAAGATACACTCCAAACTGATATATATGCACAGATTTAATGCTCTTTGTCTTGCTCATTGTTTGAGTAAAGATATATTCTAGTAAATATATACACATAGCAAATGTAATGATTAATGAGTTGGTTCAGTGTTCAGTTTATTCACATGTGTAGCATTTGCTACCCCTAGTACCATTTTAAAAAATCGTTGTAAATTATAACACAAAAATTGCCATTTTAACCATTTTTTAATGTACAATTCAATGGCATTAATTAGATCCACAAGGTTGTCTTGGTAGCATTTTAAAATTTATTTTCCTCAAATTTCAGTTGCAGCTTTGCATTTCTGATTTTAAATCCTTATTCCAACTGATGTGGTCATATATCACCTGTACCAACTAGTTTCTATCCCAGGATAGGAAGGAATTTAATAGATTTCATCAATAACCACATACTTCAATTTTTATTACACGACTTCACTGATGAGCTGCTCAGTTTGCATTATTTCTCCTTCTGGATTCCTGTTTGTTGTTGTCTTCTATCAAATGACCAAATAGTTCTTGATCCCTTCAAAAGAGTATAGTGAATAATGGAAGGGGCAGGGCATTGGGCTACAGGAATTGCCCCATGAATCTGGCAGCCCTTTTTCTCTGTGGGCATTTACTCTCATGCTTTCACTCTCGCTCAGTCTCCCCTTCTTGGGGGCTGTAGAGTGGTTATGAGCACAGACGTTGCTGTGATCCTGGTGTGGAAACTGCCTCAGCTAGTTTCACGATGTGTAAACTTCAGTGAGTCACTCAACCTCTCTGACCTGCCACATTAAAATGTAGCTCCTATTTTTTTTTTTTTTTTTTGCCAGACTACTTTATATATTTTATTGATTTTACACAGAGGGAACTGAGAGGGATAGAGAGTTAGAAATGTCGATGAGAGAGAAACATCGACCAGCTGCCTCTTGCACACCCCCTACTGGGGATGTGCCCGCAACCAAGGTACATGCCCTTGACCGGAATTGAACCCAGGACCTTTCAGTCCGCAGGCCGACGCTCTATCCACTGAGCGAAACTGGTCTTGGCATAAAGTGTAGCTCCTATTATTACTCACTGGCCTGGTGCACGAAATTCATGCACAGGTAGAGTCCCTAGGCCTGACCAGTAATCAGGGGTGATTTGGGCCTTCCGGCTGCTGGCTGGGGCTTTCCTTTGTTCCGTACTGCCCCCTGGTGGTCAGCACATATCAGCGAGTGATCGAACTCCTAGTCTCCGGGTGGAACTCCTGAGGGGACACTTTGCATATTAGCCTTTTATATATATAGATAGGTAAAGGAGAAGAAACATTTCAGTTTCCTGTCACAGTCCTGTCATCTGTGGGAATCTCATGTCCACAACCACCTGCTTCACCACAGGTCACTGGTTTTTGTACCGCTTGACTGCACTGGCCTCTCAAGGGATTGAGACTGCGATGAGTGTCCATTCATGGGCAGCCAATGCCATCAGCTTGATCCAGGAGATGACTTGGCCTAAACTATTCCCACAGAGGTGGCCTACACATGCGAATGACCCAACTAGTCATATCCTTTTGGGAGATTTCAGAATTACAGGGACACAGGAGCAGATGTAAGTCTTAAAGACACAGAGCAGCAGAAGCCACAGGTTGGCAGAAGCTATGTGACAAAAGGGGTCGGGTTAGTTCAGTAGCAGCAGGTATGACGAAAGCATAGGTAGAGTGGCCGAGTCAGTGCAATGGCTGGACCCTTTTTAAAAGAGTGGTGGGAGGCTTATGGTAAAACTGGTTACTGGTCATGTTGTGCAACCTTCTAACCACACAGCCTTGATAAACCCTTGCATGGGTAAGGCAAAGTGCTACTTGAACTGCCTTTCTAAATAGAGCGGCCCTGATCTTGTATATTGGCATTATCTATGACCTCCCACTAAGAAATGCAATTGGTTAAACAGAGTTTGAGCCAATACCTTCTGCCAGAGCCAGCTTTTATGAGTTAACTTTCATTTGGAAATCTCTAGGAGGGTTAAGTGTGCAAAGCGGCTGGGATGAGTGTTGGCTCATTTTTCAGGTGTAACTCATAATTTATGGAACAGGGAGATGAAGAAGCCTTAGAAGCAAGGAAGTGTCAGCCTTTGCCTTGTGGCCGCACTTTTGTCTGCGCCTTCATAGGAGTGAGTGCTGTTTGGGAGTATTTTTTTTTTAAACATTTTTTTAAAAAACATTTTACTGATTTTTTACAGAAAGGAAGAAAGAGGGATAGAGAGACAGAAACATCGATGAGAGAGAAACATCAATCAGCTGCCTCCTGTACACTCCCCATGGGTATGTGCCAGCAACTAAGCTACATGCCCTTAACTGGAATCGAACCTGGGACCCCTCAGTCTGCAGGCCGACACTCTATCCACTGAGCCAAACTGGTAAGGTTTGGGAGTACCATGGGGGTTTAGCCACAGTAAACTGGGTTTCATGCACACCTGTGCTTTGTAAATTGCCTTTTATGCGGTTGTTACTGGTCCTGTGCTTCTGTTCCAGGTGAATCGTGGCCCTTTAATGTTCTCTGGGGTTAGTTTGACTCCATTTTTAGTATGGGACTGAGAGTGGTGGTGCAGCACAATAGAAGCAGGAGGCTGATAATGTGGGCTCTGCCAAGTAACGCCCCTGGACCTCAGTTATTCTACCCATTAAATGGGAATGCAGCAGGAGCCAGGTGAGAAGGCTATTGTGAAGGACTTTACAGCTTTCAGATCTTAGATTTTTTTTTTTTTTTTTTGCACCTTCAGCACACTTTTGATTAAAGTTATTCAGAGGTAAAAATGAGGTACATGTTCTTATGTCAACTGCACTTAGGGTTCTAGTTATTTGGGTTTCTCATCTATACAATGGGGAAGGGTAGAGTCACATTAAATTATATCAGGGGTCACTTCGTATTTTTGTATTCTGTGGTTTTTTCCCCCCTTTATTTACACGCCGCCACAAGCCATGGTAGATAAACGAAATGATGAACACAAACATGCTTCTGGAATTTTTTCTCCTGCTAATGTGTGGGAGAGACAGAACATGCCCTGTATTCCTTTATTTATTATCAGCTGTGGGCTGTGGGCGCACTGTGACAGGTGCTGGGATTCAGTGTGAAGACCCAACCTTAGGACCTTTCTCCTTGAGGAGCTCAAGGTGAGGGGAATAAACACGCAGGTACTTACAGCACAGTGTGATAAACGCTGCAAGGGCCCGGGGTTGGGTGCAATGGGAGTAAATAGGACCAGCATCCTACCCGGGCTTGTGAGCTGAGGAACGCTTCTGGAGGAGATGCTGTTTGTGTTGAGACATGAAGGGTGAGTGGGTGTGAGCCCAGAAAGGTGACGAGTGAAGGGGACTGGGAGAGGGGAGTGTCCAGGTGGAGGGAAGGATGTGGGCAAAGAAAAGAGCTGAGACTGGGGAGGTCAGTTGAGACCAAATCAAGAAAGGTCAGAGGAGCCACAGGAAGGAGTTTAAACTTTATCTATCGTGGGGGAGAGTAAGGAACCCAGTGCCGGCCTTTAAGCAGTGGTGACATGATGACATTTGAACTTTCTACTCTCAGGGTAAGTCAGGGTCAGGGAGCCCAGGTTAAAGGTTATTTCAGTTGTCTAGTGAGAGGGGAGAGAGGCCAGAATGAAGACAGTGGGCTAGGATGGGAGGAATGGATGGATTCGAGTAAAAGCAGATAGAATTGAGAAGCACCGATTAGCATGAGTGGGGTGGGGGTGAGGTGGGGGGGGAGGGGACGCTGAGAATAACTTTCAGGTTCTGGCTCAGGCAGTTGGGCATGTTGAATGGAATGCTGTTTCTTGGGGTAATCACAGGGGGGGGGGAGGGGAGGAGCCGGCTTGGGGCAGAAATGCTTTTAATTTAAGACACACTGAGTTTTCAAAGCATATTCATGTAGAAAGGTTTGCTGATTGTGAAGAACTAACTCAGAGATGTTCTGGAAAGGAGAGCGAGATGGGAGAGCAGTGGAGGTGGGGAACATGATCAATAAAAGGAGTTTTCTGAGAAGCAAGGGTGGAGGGAATGGAAGTGCCAAGAGCGGAGTAGGGTGATCAGCATAGATGAGGAATTGCATCCATGTCTTTTAAAAAATATTTTTTTTTATTGATTTCAGAGAGAAAGGGAGGAGAGATAGAAACATCAATGATGAGAGGGAATCATTGATAGGTTGCTCCTGCATGTCCCCTACTGGGGATTGAGCCTGCAATCCAAGCATGTACCTTTGACCAGAATCTAACCTGGGGCCCTTCAGTCTGCAGGCTGATGCTCTATCCACTGAGCCAGACTGACTAGGGTGCATCCATGTCTTTCAACAGGCAGGAAGGGAGCTGTGGCACAGTATCAATCAGTACTGGGTCAGGACATGGCAAAACTACTCTTGACAATGGTAGTGTGAGAATAAAATAACCCTGAAAACCTGAATTGCAGCCTTAACAAAAAAAAAAAAAAAAAAAAATTATATTGATTTCAGAAAGGAAGGAAGGGAGAGAAAGAGAGAGAGAGAGAGAGAGAGAGAGAGAGAGAGAGAGAGAGAGAGAGAAGAGACATCAATGATGAGAGAGAATCACTGATCAGCTGCCTCCTGGAGACCCCTTATTGGGGATTGAGCCCACAACCAAGGCTTGTGTCCTTGACTGGGATCAAACCTGGGACCTTTCAGTCCACAGGCTGATGTTCTATCCACTGAACCCAACCAGCCAGGGCTGAATTACCGTTCTTTTGTCTCAGGGCTCAAGCAGCCGCTAAGCCTTGGCTTCCAGGTAGCATGCTGTGTAGACTGGCCCGAGGGCTCAGGAACAGGGGCAGGACAGAAACAGGCCCTCAGAATGTTGGAGGCAGAGAGAGTCCTTACAAGTGATGAGCAGTGAGCCTGAGTGGAGACTGACAGAGACAGCTCTGAGGTCACGAAAGTTGGGAGGAGGACCCTGCTAGCCCTCCACGAGTCTTAATTCTTCCAAGGACAGGGCAGTGGCATGATGCCCTGTCTGTGACCACAGTGCTACCCCAGACCCTCTGGGGTCTTACTCCATTCTCCTCCCACCCTGCTCCTGAAATGGCTGGAAGTGTACACACATCTCTTCTCTGGGATCTACCCCTCTGTCTTCTTGACCAGTCAGCCAAGTTTGCCCTTGGTTCCCTCTGAACTCCTGTGTTTGGGCTTGTCTCAGGCTTACCCAAGTCTCATCCTTTCTTCATGTTCTGGCTCAAGACTGTCCCCTCCAGGAGGCCTTCCGTGACTACCCAGCCCTCACTAACCTCACCTCCTTGCACTCTGCCAATGCTTCATTGTGCACTGTGTTGGGTCTTGTTTCTCATGTGCTATTTTACTTTCTGCAATAAACTCTTTGAGAACAGTGAATCCTCGGACAGTGTGGGAGAAAAATTAGCATTAGTAGGTGCCTAATAAAAATTTAATTTTATTATTAAAATACTATATAATAAAAGGCCAGCGACCATACCAGCATAATGACCAGAACGACTGATTGACCAGTTGCTATGAGGTGCGTTGACCACCTTTCGGTCCCTCTCCCTAGCCCGCAGGCTCCGATTGCTGGATGTCGAACAGGGAATCATGGGGAACTGGGGTGGGTGGCAGTGGTGGGGCGGGACTGGAGACTGGCGAGCAGGTGGAACAGCTGACCTCTGATAGATCACCAGATGGTGAACAGGGAACCAGGGTGGGTGTCGTCGGCAGCGGGGTGGGACTGGGGACTGGTGAATGGGTGGAAGGTGGCCCTGATCGCAGGCTAGGCCTAGGAACCCTACCTGTGCACAATTTCATGCACTGGGCCTCTAGTAATGGGTATTCTAGTAATGAGTATCATGTCCCCTGAGAGTACTTTAAAAAGGTTAGGAAGAAAAAAAGTAACACACACACACACACACACTAAAAGTTTCTTCCTAACTTTTTGAAAGTATTCTCAGGGGACATGATAATCCCATGGAGTAGGTGTCCAAATAGTAGGTCTTTTGAAAAACACTCCCCCAATCCCCCCCAACAAACAAACAAACAAACAAAAAAACAAGGAACAAAACCAACACAGAAAAAGCCCAAATGACTTGCCTCAAGCCACACACTGAGAGGAGAGCGGTGTTCTTGCTCCCTGCCCGGACCCTAGGATCTTACCTTGGTGACATAGCGTACGTATTGTGGCCTTTTGGCGTTGAGGAAGATGCCTATGGTGCAAGGAATGAGAATCATGATCAGTGATAGCACAATGCCTCCATAGGGCACCTTGTCCTTCAGGTCTCCGTCGTAGATCCCCCTGGAGTACACGTACAGGAGGAGGGGCATCATGCCCAGGGCAATGAAGGTGGAGCAGGTGGTCATCACGATGCTGGGTGGGAGACAGGAAGAGTGCAGAGAGAAAGCTCATTAACACAGACTCTTCGGGCGAGCGCCGACGTCCCAGACACACCCTGCTTCCTTTCCTGTCCCCGCTAGCCTGAGGGGTAAGCATGCCATCTCCCTGTCGCCGAGGGGGAAGCTGGGGACCAGAGGAGAGGCGGCTTGTCCAGGATCATGCCGGTGGCAAAGGCTGAGGCAGGATTGTACCCAGGTCTGTCCAGCTGCTTCCCTCCCTGTGTGCTTCATTGTGGAAGGAGCGTCTGATCTCCTTTGTAACAACACTTTTTGCTCTGAACACTTGCCCTATGCAAGGCCCATTCAGAAGAAAGTTAACCGCATGACTTCATCACTCTGAGCATATCCCGCTGGATCACAGAATGGCCCACAGTCATGTCTGTCTCAGAGCCTAGGGAGGTCTGGACACAATGGCTGTGTAACTGGGATAACAGGATTAACTACATCGAGAACATATTCTCCCTTGGAGATTCTGAATATGAGACACAGTGATAGAACGGTGGGTCTTGGAGAGGGGGTGACATTGGAGGGATGGTCAGGCAGAAGCCAGAAACATGCAAAGAAAAAGTGAACAGAGGCCATGAATGGAGGGACCGTGAGAAATAGCAGCAAAGCCATAGAAACAGAATAATTGAAGGGTCTATTGTGGAGCGATAAGAAGGCAGCAGCAGTTAGTTACCCATTGCCGAGTGAGTGACCGGAGAGCCTGCTTTGCATCTTGACTGCAGGTCTAGTCCCCAACACTGATAGTTCTCACGTTATTTGCTCCTTGTTTTATCCTTACATTATTTAAGATAACTTGAGTGTGAGTCTCAGAGCCTGAATAATACATCCTCCCAGCTCTAATTTGTATCCTATTACCATTTCCATTTGGAATGCAATACATGTGAGCCCCAGGACCCTGTGCAGGCACAGGCCTTCCAGCACGACCAGCTGAGAGCATGAAGCTGGCAGGAAGCAGTCTTGGACTTGGGGATTCTGACCTTATATATGTGGCTTTGGCTTCCATTCTAGTGGGAAGGTTGGGGGCGGGTGGGGCAGGGGAGGAGAAGATTGGCAAGACCTCAGGAAAGTCACAGTAAGGTGTATCCCTCCTCTCCACAGCCCCATCCTCATCTTCATTGTGCCCATCCAGGTGAACTATAGCTACATCAAGTACAGCCTCGTCCAAAGGGGCCAGAGGGCAGCCATCAAGAACAGTAGCAGGGGGAGGCACCACAGGACAGGAAGCTGTCAGAGGTGAGCAGGGACCCTAAAGAATCCTGTGGACTGAATAACCCTTCCTTAAGAACATCAGCATAGGCGTGAGCTTTAAGAAAGTAAGGGAGGTTTCCAGGAATCACAAACAAAGAATGCCAAGTAAAGTGCCTTCATTTAGTTATTGATAGGCCCTGCAATTTTAAGCAAGGTGAGGCACATGCTAAGGCAATTTTACTGGGGACCGATACAAACGAGTTAGGTTCCCACAGCATCTCATCAGTGCTTTAATGGAACAATGTTGACTGAAATGAAGCCAGGGTCGAGTGTTGTGATAATCTGGAAGTTTAAGTTTTAATGCTCAAGGGAGAGTCCAGAATTGATATCTTAGGCTTCTGAAAAGAGGAAACTGAAAAAAACAAAACATCTCATTATCTCATGGGTCAAATATGAAATAATGAAAAAAAGGTAATATTTGGGACAGAATAATAATATAATGCAATATTAAAAAACACGGGGGAGGTGATCTTGGATTAGGCAATGGTTTCTTAGATATGATACCTAAAGCACAAACAACCAAAGAAAAAAATATAAATGTGACTTTACCAAAATTAACACCTTGGTTTTGGCTGGTGTGGCTCAGTTGGTTAGAGCCTGTACCGTACCTGGAAGGGTGGCGGGTTTGATGCTCGTCAGGGACATACCTGGCTTGCATGTTTGATCTCCAGTGGGGGGGGCATGCAGGAGGCAGCCGATGGAGGTCAAGCTCTCACATCGACGTTCCTCCCTTTTCCCTTCCTCTGTCTCTAAAAAGCCCCAACAAACTATTCTTTTTTTTTTTTTAAGAATGGTTTAACATTAGATAATCTATTATTGAATTAAAAAATGGTACAATCATTTTATAGGTGGAAAAGTGTCACTCAACAAAATTCACTGTTCATACATGATAAAAATTAGCACACTTGAAACAGAATGGAAATTCCTGAACTTGAAAAGGGTTATCAATCAAAAATCTACAGGAAACAGTATACTTAATGGTGAAATATTAGATGAATAGCAGTATCATCAGCTTGGTTGTAAATTATACTATATATGGGTCTTTGCTAGCACAGCAAAACAAGAAATAGGGAAGGTCTAGAGATGGGTAAGGAAGAAACTAAATTTTCATCATATGCCAATGATAGGACTGTCCACAGAGGAAATCCAAGTGAATTTCAATTATAACTAGTAAGTAAGAGAATCCATGTAGTTCTGAGTACATTATTAATACAAAAAATTTTATTGTCTTGGTCTAGTAGAAAAAAGAATCATCATATGATTTTTCAAAAAGGTTTAACAGTAGATAATCTATTATTGAATTAAAAAAGGTGTCATTTATAATCATAAAACTATAAAATATTTAGAAATGAGTAAAAAAGATGCAAAATATTTAGGGGATGAATTATAAAACTTCGTAGAAAGGTATAAAATAAGGCCTAAGTAAAAGAAAAGCTACACTATTTCTATGGACGAGAAGACTCAATATTATAAAGATGGCCTCTAAATTTATTTATAAATTTAATGCAAATTTAATAAAAATTTCAGCAACATTTTTTGTAGCCTTGAGAGCTAATCTTAAAATTCAAGTGTAACAGTAAAGGGTCAAGAACAGCTGGTGTGCCCGTCAGCAGATGAGTGGATTAAAAAACTGTGGTACATCTACACAATGGAATACTATGTTGTGGTAAAAAAGAAGGAATTCTTACCATTTACAACTAGAGAGCATTATGCTAAGTGAAATAAGCCAGTCAGAGAAAGATAAATATCACATGATCTCACTCATTTATGGAATATAAAAAACAATATAAACTGATGAACAAAAACAGATTCAGAGCCAGAGAAGCATTGATTAAACCATCAAACCTCAGAGGGAAGGTAGGAGAGGATGGGGGGGAGGGGGAGAGATCAACCAAAGGACTTGATGCATGCATATAAGCATAACCAATGGACACAGACAAGACGGGGGTGAGGGCATGAGTGGGAGGCTGGGGGGCAATGAGGGGATAAGGACCCATATGTAATACCTTAATCAATAAAAACAGAAACAAAAAACCCATATATTTAAAAAAGAATAGCTGGTGTAATCTTCAAAAACAAGGAAGGGGAAACTTACCTTTCAGAAATGAAGATTTATTATAAAGTCATAATTAAGAAAATGTGATATTGTGCAAGGATAGTCACATAGACCGATACAAGAAAAGAGAGATTCCAGACACAAGCCTGTGCATATTTGTGAGTTTCATCTGTGGGAGAGATGGCATTACAAATTACTGGATAAAAATTAACTCAGTGGTACTGGGGATTTTCTTTATAATATAGAAAAGAAAATCAGATCATAGCATGCATAATAAGTTTTAGGTCCACTGAAGACCTCCATGTGAGAAACAAAACTTTAAAACTGTTCAGAAAAAACTTAGGGGAATATCTGTATGACCTTGAGGGTAATACAAGACTTTAAGAAACCCAGAAAACATAAACTGTCAATAAAAGATATTGGCAAATCCTATTGAATTAAAGTAAGCAGTCTGTGTTTAAAATGTTATTATCAAAGTGTAAAGACAAGCGCCAAACTGTGAGATGACTTGCAACATATACAAACAATACAAACTACAAATTAATGAGGAAAAACACTATAGTCCCATAAAAAGCAATTGACAAAGGATATATTTCCTGAAGAGGACACCCAAATGGCCAATAAATATTTGAAAAGGTACTATGCCTCCTATGAAATAAAAATTTTAAAAAAATATATATATTTTGATTGATTTTTTACAGAGAGGAAGGGAGAGGATAGAGACTTAGAAACATTATCAGCTGCCTCCTGCACACCTTCTACTTGGGATGTGCCTGCAACCAAGGTACATGCCCTTGATTGGAATCGAACCTGAGACCTTTCAGTCCGCAGGCCGAAGCTCTATCCACTGAGCCAAACCAGGGAGGGCTAAAATTAAAAAAACTTAAAACCACTGTGACCCCTTTTAGTCTCACCAGATGGCAAAAATGGAAACATCCGGTAATTCCAAATACAGAGGAAGACATGGAAAAAGTGCAACTGCTTTAGAGACAGCTGTAGAAGATGCATGAACCCCATGACCCGCCACCTGCTTCTGTTATATACCCTCTCACACATGAGCACTGAGGCACATGCACAAGGCCGGTCACAGCAGCAACACGTGAAGTTCACGTGAAGTCAACACGTGAAGTCCACTGACAGCAGGAGAACAGATAAATACAAGCAAACTACACGGCAGTGCCAAAGCACAAAGGAGCTATTTAATTCCTGTGCTTCTATCTCAGAAAAAAGTAGGTTGTCAAATGACATGGGCAGTATGATAGTGTTTGCATGACGTTGAAAACAGGCAAACACAGCTGTGCATCTTGCTTATGGATCAGTACCTAAGGAGTAATAGTATAAATCACACCACAATAGTGCGATAGTGCTGAGTTCCGGGAGGTGCTCCCTGCGGGGTGGGGACAGGGAGAGGAGAGCGGGGCGGGACGGGGCGCACGGGGCCGGCTATTGATCCCTCTTAGGAGAAAGGCCACACGCTGGTGGGCTTGTTTGGATGTCCTTGAGCGGCGGAGTCATGCTTACTTTGGCCGGGTGTGTCAGCAGCGCTGGAATTTGCTCTGGGACTTGGTGTGCCTTGTGCACGCAGGGGTGTGGGAACAGGCTGTCCACCTTCAGGTGCCTCCTCCACATGGGTAAGTGCTGGACCCTGGTCAGGGACGCCCACCTCCCGATTTGCTGGAATCTGTGATTGTCATGCTCCCCAGTTTACCCTGAAGGACAGGAATTGGGATGGATGGGTGGGGTTGAGGGGGAGCTTGACTCAACCAGGCTCGCGTTCTGAGATTGGGACCTGTTCCATAGTGATTTGTGGGCCCCGTGGCCTCTCGGGGAGCCAGGGGTCAGAGGGAAAGAGCATGTTTGATTTTTTATTTATTCTTTCTGCCTATGTTCTTGGAGCACAGCACCAGCCTGCTTCCAGCCCCTGTCAATAGAGGCAGAAGCTGAGGGGACTGGGAGCCAGGCTTCCATCTCATCCTGGTTAGGCTCCCTCCTTCATGGTGGCTCTGGTCTCTGCTGGGAGTTGGGTCAGAGGGAGCAGATGAACCTGAGGGGCCAGTTGCCTCTGGGACCCTCTGTCTCTGACAAGCTGGGCTCGCTTCATCTTCGAGGACATTTTCTCTCGCCTGGGGCTATCTGCTTTCTTGGGAGCTTGTTTAAGTGGCTGCCTGGTGGCCCGGCCTCCCTGAATGTGCCTGCCCACCTGCAATGGGATGGTGGCCGCCCCAGACTCACTCCATCTGGGCGGCAGAGTCCCAGGAAGGAGACACCACTTTCCCACAAATTCTGGGAAGCCTCGGGCAAGTCTCTGAACTTCAGCTTCCTCAGGACCGGTGCTTACAGAGAAGTTCTCCCCGGCAGCCTTTCAGGGACATCTGGCCTCGGACATGTACTGTTTGACTGCACAGTGTTCCTGTTTTTGTTAATCTTCACCCGGGAATATTTTTCCATTGATTTTTAGAGAGAGTGGAAGGGAGGAGACACACACACACACACACACACACACACACACATACAGAGAAGCATCCATTGGTTGCTTCCTGCACATGCCCTGACCTGGTCCGGGGATCGAGCCTGCAACTCAGATAGGTGACTGTGACCAGAATTGAACCCTTGACCTTTCAGTCTGTTCATGGAGCCAAACCAGCTAGGGCAGATGCACGGTGTTTTTAAAAAGGTTTAAAGAGTTGTAGAGATTTCGCAAAAGAAGGGAGCTTCTACCCTCTCTGGAAAAGCAGAAGCTGCGGTGGTGGTGGGTTCCTGCGCCCAGAGAGCACCCAGGGCGCCTGCATTGTTCAGGGGGACCTCCCGGCACTGTGCTCCTTTCCGCCCAGGCCCGACCCTGAAGACATCTGTGCAAAAGCACAGGCTTGGGGTCCCCCGGCTCAGTTTCCCCATCTCGGCGCCTCCCCACAGGCTGCTGCAGGAGGGTTGCAGGTAGACTGCTTCGTGCAGTGCAGGCTCTTCTGATTGCTGGTCTCATGATCATAATCACACTACATGTCCTGGAGGAACTCACATTGGAATACGCAGTCTGGTAACGTGTGATGGCTGATGGTGAGCTCGTGCTTCGCAAGGGGGCCTGAGGCGTAGCTTAGCGTGCATGGGAGGTGTGCCTACGGGAAGGGGCTCTGGAAGGTGGATGACCAGGCAGAGCATTATCGCTTGGGGGGCCCAGGGTAGAAGTGACCATCTCCAGGTCCCCAGACAAGGAGGCTGAGCAGGACAGGATCGAGGTCCCATCCCTGAGCCACTGGGTGTGGGTGGGGGCTGAGGGCCTCAGACATGCAGCTGCATTGAAGAGACCTTGCCAGTGCCCTTGGGCTAAAGAAGCAGGGGCATCTGGCCAAGGACACGGACACACTCCCCCATTGTCCTTAACCCTGGCCTGCCTGCTCTGCTCTTCTACAGAGGGCCCCTTCCCAACAGCCGACTTTCCGCATCCCTTCTCAGCCAGAACTGGACACGGAGGTTGCATTGAGCCTTGTCCAGGGGCCAGATTAAGACCGAGGGCTTGCCTGGCTGGTGTGGCTCAGGGGTTGAGCACTGACCTATGAACCAGGAGGTCAGGGCATGTACATGGGTTGTTGGCTTGATCCCCAGTAGTGGGCACGCAGAAGGCAGTCAATTAATGATTCTCATTATTGATGTTTCCATCTCTCTTTCTCCCTCTCTTCTCTGAAATCAATACAAATTAAAAAAATTTTAAGATTAAAAAAAACACACAAACACCCAAAACCTGAGGGCTTGCTTTGTAGCAGGAAGGATTTGGATTAGATTAGAGGGAAGACTTTCCTCAGAGGGTGGATATGTTCCCCTGGGAGACTTGGCAAGCCAAGCCTCTTCCTTGCCCCTCTCTTCCATAGTCTTACTTCGGCGAGGACTGAATCCGATGGGTGGAGACTCCAAGCTGCTCAGATGGAGGGTCCTGGTAAACCCCAAGTATCATTCTCTTTTTTCATTTAAAAATATGCCCTGGCCTCACTTGGCTTCACCAGGAGGGACGTTCCTCCTTGGGTGCTCTCCTTAGTGGACGTTGGCCAAGGGCAGGGTGCTGACAGACACCCAACCGGACTGTCTGAATCCACTGCCCTCCCTGCTAGAAAAGCGTCCCTACTGAGGACCCAACCAAAGGACACAGCTCGAGGCTGAGGCGTAGATAAAGGCAGGAGCTTCTGCAGGTGTTTCCTCGGTCAGCATAGGGGATGCTGCTGGTCCCACTCCCCGCTCTCCCCTTCCCCCACCCCCTCACCAGTTTGGCTGGGGTGAGGCCCAGCATCACCTGGCCGGGGCTGGGAAACTCTTGGATCTACCTGGTTGTGTCTTTACATGGAAGTGTTTCTGTGTCTGATGGGAGGATGGGACAAGTTAAGGGAAGACATCCCGTCTGCCTGGATAGTTGGGAGGAGCTTTGGGAATCCCTGCTTGCTCTGTAGGAATTAGAGGTGCCTATTTGGTTCCAAGCCAGATCTTGATCTCCATGGAGATGTCTGGAACCAGTCTGCACCCCCTGTAAGATCTCTGACCTCAAAGCAGACACCTTGACCTCCACTGTAGGCAGGTGAAGTTCTCCAGAGGCCCATTTGGTGTAAACCAGTCCTTAGGCCCCCCCTGAGATGCCTCTGGGAATAGGGGGTCCCCAGGATGCCACTGGACTAGCGTGGCCCCTTTGGTGTGGTGCTTAAACCAAGACAAACCCCAGCGCCTGCTCCCAGCCCAGCATAAGGTCTTAACAATAAATGCCCGCACCTCGAGCCCTGCCATCCACCCAGCACCTACTCCTCTCTTTAGGCCAGATTCCCCCCGCGATTGTGACACCTCCAATGCGGCTCATGTCCCCAGGCTCATTCCCAGTCCTACCTGAGGTTCATGTCCCCTTTCATGGCCAGACTGAAGACGTTGGACAGGTTTCCCCCCGGGGAACAGCCGCAGATCAGGATGGCTATCGCCTCAATATTGTTCAACCGGAACAGCTTGCCCAGGGCAAAGGCGGTGAGGGGCATGATGCCATACTGCGCCACCAGGGCGATGGCCAGCCCCTTGGGCTTCCAGAAGTGAGCCTTGATCTTGCTGAACTCCATGGTGCAGCCCAGCGACAGCATCATGATGAGCAGCATGAACACCAGGATGATGCTCAGCGCCAGGTCGGTGGGGCGCTTGCCGAAGTTGGGCGGCAGGGAGAAGTTGAGGGGGACCGACACGTTGAGGGTCTCCATCCTCCTGGGGCGGCGGAAGGCCGGGAGACCTGCACGCCCTGGCTCCCTCTGCTGCTCGGTCCTGGCTGGACACCTGCGGTCACCTCCCGGGGCCGAGTGTCAGGACAAATGGAGCTGCTGTGGGTCTGATATGTCCTACCCTGGTAGGCTGCCCAGATCAGAATGCAAATAGAAGGATTACACAATTGGCTGTGGTCTCAAAGGGGAGAGCCCGGAGCCTTGTCTGCCAGGCCTGTCCTGTTTCTCCCAAATTCCTCTACCTTTCTGGGCGCCGCTGATGCTCCTTTAGCACTTGGCTGCTTCTGGAACCAGGGACTTCTTTCTCATTTGCCCCAGATATTCTGTTCCTGGGGCCCAGTCCAGGGCCTGCACCCGTCCAAGTCCAGACCTTCTCATCCTCTGCTCGTTTTTGGATGCCTTAGGAGGGTGCCTTCCCCAGGCCCAGCAAGTCACCTCTGCTCCTACACCCTTCGGGGTGAAATGAATCCAGTGGTACCTTTCCTTCCCAGACAGCGGTACATCCTCAGGGGTTGTGGCACAGCTAGGGGTGGGTGTGTCATTGGTTTCTAGGGAGCCATGTGTCCACGACTCTTTTCCCAGGAGAGGAGGTGCCTGTGTCCTTCCCGCCTGCGCTGGGGAAACCCTTGTCCTACCCCCAAACCTGGGTGGTAGGGTCCCGGGGGAAGAAGACACTCACCTGGGAAGAGCCTGCAGGGATAACTGAGGGGCTCTCAGGAAGGGCGGCTCTGAGGGCACTTTGGCTGTGGAGGTTTCTGTCCAGATTCCCTGGCCAGCAGCCTGGGGAGCCCCATAGCTGAGAAACATTCTGAGAAAGAAGCAGGAATGCACCGGCTTTTCCTTCCAATTTCTTGACAGCTCTACTTTTGTTCTATGGCCTGTGTGTCTCTGGGCTCTGGGCAAACAGCAGCCCTGGGGGGGCGGGGGAGGGCCGGGGAGAGGAGAGAGAGAGAGAGAGAGAGAGAGAGAGAGAGAGAGAGAGAGAGAGAGAGAGAGAGAGAGAGAGGCGGAGATAGGCATGCCTGGGGCAGGCTCACAATGTGTGGCCCTCTGAGCCTCCTTCCTCTCATCCCAGCCTTAGGGTAGGACCTTCAGAGGGAACAAGAGACCAGTCTTCAGAAACACACTTGCCTCTCGGCTGCGGCTGCGTTGAAACCTACCAGGCCTGGGTGGGATCTCATAGTTCCGTATTTGCTGAAGCGGGAGATCAGGCTTTCTGTGTGGGACTCCAGAGGGCAGGGGAGTGACCGGGATGTGAGCCACTGTGAGATAGAAGTGTGGTCAGATTTTGACTTTGGTATGAGGAAGTGTCTAAAAATGAGTACACTCCAACAAGGCCCTGGGGCCTTGGGAATCCCGCATAAAGGCTGGCAGGGTCCTCCACCTGGGCCGACAGGAAGAATCAGGTGGATGAGCTGGCTGATGGAAGGCTACCCTGGTCCACTCTGCAGGAGTCTTGTGCAGGTAACCAGTCGCCCATTTGATAATGAGTAATACACAACATGAAATTAAATCCACTCTAAAGTAAAAGAGGAAGAGTAGCAAAAGTTTTCAACAACTGTCTTAACTGGTTTGGCTCAGTGGATGGAGTGTTGGCCTGCAGACTCAAGGGTCCCGGGTTCGATTCTGGTCAAGGGCATGTTCCTTAGTTGCGGGCACATCCCCAGTAGGGAGTGTGCAGGAGGCAGCTGATTGATGACTCTCTCTCATCGATGTTTCTAACTCTCAATCTCTCTCCCTTCCTCTCTGTATAAAATCAATAAAATATATTTTAAAAAAATTACAATTTTGAACCCTAAAGGTAATAGTTGATTGAGGTAAGGACCATCAATAGATGCTAAAACCGCTGAAACTGGTTTGGCTCAATGGATAAAGTATGGGCTTGGGGTCTGAAGGGACCCGGGTTCAATTTCGGTCAAGGGCATGTACCTTGGTTGTGGGCATATCCCCAGTAGGGGGTGTGCAGGAGGCAGCTGATTGATGATTCTCTCTCACCGATGTTTCTAACTCTCTATCTCTCTCCCTTCCTCTCTGTACAAAATCAATAAAATATATTTTAAAAAAAGATGCTAAAACCTTTGGGTAAAAAGTAAGTGAGGACAAGAATATTCCTCTGGTGATAAAGTATCACTAATCATCTTATAGATTAGTTAATAATGATAGAGGGAAGATATGTACTCTTACATTGGCAAAACCTGGCAGTTTTCCCCCTAAGCAAGTGGTTAAAATTGGCATTCTCAATAGCATGACCACCTGAAGTCACGTGCCTCTTGATGGAATGCAATATGAAATGCACAATATAAATATAGTAAAAAAAATGCTTTCTCTGAATCTAATCAAGTCTTTAGACTGAAATGGCAATTTATTGGAAGTACAAGTGTTAGGAAAACAAATCTATACTAATAAAAAGGTAATATGCTAATTAGAGCAGATGTCTTCTGGACAACCATCCAGATGTTCTTCTTGACAAAGCCGGAGCCCTGGTGCCTGTGGCTATGAGGTCCCAGGTGCCAGTTTAGCAAAATCTTGGAGGAAGATAATTTTATATGGGTTTCCCCAAATTTCTTTGGCCCCTACTCATCCTTCTGTAAAGGCACAGAACAAGTGAGGCTCCCTAAATAAAAACCAGTGGTCTCCAGCAATGGTGGGCCTCTCTCATCACAGACATTTGGACTGAATGGCATTTGAGTATTTATCTAGGCACCATGACAGAGAAACACAAGTTCAAGTCATGATCTCTGCCCTTAAATAGTTCAGTCCTATTAGAGCGAGTGGATGATAAAAGTGCAGTAATGACATCAGAATGTAAGGCAACAATACAAAGGAACAGAGGCAATTGCTAAAGTGATTTTCCAACAATTAGTACGAAGAGTATGTGCTATGAATTAAATTTAAAAAAATGTGTGGAAGTAGCTGCTTCATGGGTATGGCATCCCTTTCTATTTTAAAGGAAGCTGAGTTCCATGTGAACTGTGTACTATGCTTTGATATTTGAGACATTCTTTATTGTTCAATGTGATTTATTTCAGTTTTCTAATAGTTAAATTACTAGAATAATGCACCTTGCAATAAAATATTACTAGAAGATCAAATGATCAGGTGACATTTATTGTTATTTTCTATAAATGAACACCATCTCTGGTATGCTAAAGTGATAGGTATTATAGGAATATTCAGATAGGGAGACCTACAGGTTTGATTACAAGTGAGGTTTACTATCACTATCCAAATTTATTGCTTAAAAAAAAAAGAAAAAAAAGAAAAAAAGAAGCAGGGAGCCAACTGGAAACTGAACCTTGAAGGCCAACGGTAAATTGGATAAGCTTCACTATTACAAGAGCAACAAGAAAGAATTCAGAGGCAAGAATGAGAAACAGACTGCATCCACTCTAAGTGCCTGCTAAAGAAAAAGAATGATATACTACGAAAATATTTAATACAGATCGTAAAGAGATTTGTTAAAAAGGATTTCCTAGAGTAGGTGGTATTTCAGTTAAAAAAATTTTTTTTAATGTGAAGAGGTTAGCTAGGTAAGAAAAAGATGTATGGGTCCCAGACTGGAGAGGGTGCAGGCCGGGCTGAGGGGACCCCCAACCCCCATCCTGTGCACAAATTTTGTGCACCAGGGCTCTAATAGAATATAAAGAACTAACCAGATCTAGAACATGGGACATTTTACAAAATAACTGGCATATCAGCCCTAGCCAGTGTCTCTCACATCGATGTTTCTCTTTCTCTGTCTCTCCCCCTCTCTTCCACTCTCCTTAAAAAAAAAAAAAAAAAAAAAAAAAAAAAAAAAAAAAAATCAATGGAAAAATATCCTGCAGTAAAGATTAACAACAAGAACAAATAAATAATAATAACTGGCATGTCCTCTTTTTTTTTTTAAATATATTTTATTGATTTTGTACAGAGAGGAAGGGAGAGAGATAGAGAGCTATGAGAGAGAGTCATCGATCAGCTGCCTCTTGCACACCCCCTACTGGTGATATGCCCGCAGCCAAGGTACATGCCCTTGACCGGAATCGAACCCGGGTCCCTCAGTCCCCAAGCCGACGCTCTATCCATTGAGCCAAACCGGTCTCAGCTGGCATGTCCTCTTAAACAAGTAATTGTTGTAACAAAATTGGATATTTTACATTTCAAGAATAAAGAGACACAACCAAATGCAATGTATGGTTGGATACTGGGTTAAAAAAATATTTAAAAACATGTTGAGGAGTAATTGGAGAAATTTGAATATGTACTGTATATTGATATTGTAGATGATACTGTGAAATTATTAGATTAGCATTGTGGTTATTTAGGGTAATGTTCTCATTTTAGGAACGAAGGCTGATGTCTTAATGAGTGAAGTTTCATGATGTTTGCAATTTGTTTGAAAATGGTTAGGTGAAATGTGTTTGTGTATTGTGTGTGTATGTAGAGAGAGGAAAAGCAGATATGGCAAAATGATAACAATTGTTGAAACTGTGTGCAAGATATATGGATACTCATTGCATTTTTCTTCCAATTTTTATTTTAGTTTGCAATTTTTATTTTATTTTATTTTTAAAAAATATATTTTATTGATTTTTTACAGAGAGGAAGGGAGAGATATAGAGAGCTAGAAACGTCAATGAGAGAGAAACATCGGCCAGCTGCCTCTTGCACACCCCCTACTGGGGATGTGCCCGCAACCCAGGTACATGCCCTTGACCGGAATTGAACCCGGGACCCTTCAGTCCGCAGACCGACGCTCTACCACTGAGCCAAACCAGCCTCGGCAGTTTGCAATTTTTAAAAATAAAAAGTTGAAATGAAAAAGGATACAGGAAAGAGATGGTGAGATAACAGGAGGAGATGTAGCATGGCTGGAAGAACTCAGGAAAAACACCATATCAGAGTGCTAAAGATGAAATGGAAGGAATACAAATAAAAGACAATTGAGAACATCATAGCAAGGGACATAGAAGTGAGACAGAAGGAAGGCAAGCAAATTGGAATGGACATAAAGAGTTAAAAAAAAAAGAGTAGAGATAAAAAGATTTAGAATCAAGGAATTCAGATTCAATAGATACATAATTGGAGCCTCCCTAGAAGAAAACCAAAATGATGAAACAGATCAAATAT